TGTGCATCTTATTTCATAGATTTTATGGATTCATATGAAAGTGAACAAAACACACACAAGCTCACGGGTTGGCTGAGAAGGAGTGGTACCAAGTTCTGCAGCTCACTGTCTCATGTAGGAAGTGTAGCTGAGCAGATAGTCGAGTCCCATGTGGATTCTGTGTGATGCTCTGTTATTGAGAGGACATACAGGTCTCACCAGATTCACCCCTCCCTATCATGGCCATACACATACACATCCATGCCATAAAAGCATACACAGTCACTATGCCTCTTTCCTTCATCTCATCTCTTGTTTTCCATGTTTCTTTTTTTTTAATTTTTTTTTACATTCCAACCCCAATTCCCACTCCCTTCTCTCCTTCTACCCACCCCCCTACCTCCCATCTGCTCCATGGAGAGGATAAGGCCTCCCTAGGAAGACTACTAAATCTGTCCCATCATCTTGTTGAGGCAGGACCAAGGCACCTCTCCACCCCCACACCCCTGTGTCTAGGCTGGGCAAGGGATCTCTCCATATAGAATGGGCTCCCGTAAGTCAGTTTGTGCATTAGTACAAACCTAAACTTCTATACATAAAAGACAATCAGCTCTACTGTTTGTTTGTTTTTTTTAAGATTTATTTATTTTATTTATAGTGTTCTGCCTGCATGTATCCCTGCAAGCCAGAAGAGGGCACCAGATCTCATTAGGGATGGTTGTGAGCCATCATGGGGTTGCTGGGAATTGAACTCAGGACTTCTGGAAGAACAGCCAGTGATCTTAACCTCTGAGCCATCACTCCAGCCTTAAGCTCTACTTTAAATCTTTAGGGTACATACCCACTCATTAATAGTTGTTTATATTAGGAGACTGAGGGCAGAAATGAGTACAAGGAATTTATCACCACCTTTGGTCATCAACCAATCCTAACAAGAAAGGCACATCAGTAATGATAATTGGACTGCTCATTCTTATTCACTGACCTTAACAAGTTCCTCATTCAACTATGTGCCTTTCTAAAACTTTAGATTGTCTTCTTGGGTTTTTCACCTCCAAGCTATTTGTCAAAAACATCTAGTCTAACCTTGTTATTTTCAAGGCTTTGCTTGAGCTAAGATGCACTCAGTGAACACATTTCCCAACATTAAGATTCAAAGAAATTAGCTGGGCTACTGGGACTTAATTGTTTTTCTTAATCATTAACCTAAGCCACAGAGTATGTGGCTCCTCAATAGAAATCCATGTGTGTTCTAGCTGTGTGACACTTCCTTGTTTTATTTTTTATCATCAAAACTTTGTATAAGCTAACATTATTATTATCAATTAGACAGTACAGTTTAGGAAGGAATCATCTTCATAATATTCCACAGGTAAAAATGTCCAGTAGAACAGGAAGTTTTGATGAGATAAACACACTAAATTTCATACAGGCAGTGAGGATCTCCCCACACCCATTCATACCATACCAGATACCGGAGGAAGATGGCAACAGCAAACACAGTGAAGGCACAGCAGAAGTAAGGAACCCTGCCTGTCTGAAATTCACCCCTCAGGGAGCTGCCTCCTGGTGGGTTGACACCTTGAACTTCAGTTGCCACCTGCTGGTCCTCTGACATGGCCACCAGCTGTGCTGGAATCCAAACTAAAGTCCTCATGGTTGCTCAATAAGCAGTCTCTCCAGTCCCATGCAGATTTCTTAGTCCTACATTTTTTCCAGCCTGCTTCTCACTAGTTTAACATTTTGAGTTTTGCTTGTGACACATCTTTAAAACCTTTTATTGGCAAGAATTTTTCATACAATATATTTTGATTGTGTTTCCCTTTCCCCAATTCCTCTCAGATTCTCCCTACCCACCCAACTTGATGTTCTTTCTCTTCAAAACAGCAACAAAGCATTTTAGCATGTGTATGTTTGCAAGTATGTGTGTGCCACAGTGTGCTTGTAAAAGAAAACAACCTGTGAGAATCAGCCCTCTCCTTCCACCTGAATATCCCCAGGTTGTCAGACTTGGTGGCAGTCTCCTCTACTCACTGAGTCATCTCATTGCCTCTCTTCTTTTTGTTTCTTTGGGTTTTTTTTTATTATTAATTTGTGCATGTGAGAGTGTACCCACAGAGACCAGAAGAGAGTGTTAAATTCCCTGGAGCTAGAGTCACAAGCAGTTGTCAGACCTCTAATTTGGATACCAGAAAACAAACTCAGGTCTTCTGGAAGGATAGCAGCACTCTTAACCTATGAGCCATCTCTCCAGGCCCTCTTTTTCTTAAATTTCTTAATCGCTGGTACATTTGCCATGACATTTGGGTGACAATAAATCCTTTTTGTGGGGTTTAAAACAAGGTACTAGCCCACAAAGTGCCTATCATTTGGGTTAAATTGTTCACCGAGCAGTGGTAACACACTCCTTTTATCCCAGCACTTGGGAGGCAGAGGAAGTGGGAACTCAGAGTTCCAAGCCAGCCTGGTCTACAGAGAGTTCAGGAAAGCCAGGGCAGCACAGAGAAACCCTTTCCCCAAAAACAAACAAAAAATGGTAAAATTGTACAGGCCCTCATTTCAAGCATCAATACTTTTAAGTGTCCTGTGTTGGTCTGAAAAATCATTAGCTTGTCTCTACAGCTCTCTAATTCCCAGCACTGTCACGTTGCAATAGCAGAGCTCTGCTGCAGTGCAGACTGTTTCATTGTTCGTGTTTATCCTGAATGTCAGCTTTCAAAGACACCAAGAGCTCCAGCATTGCAGGCTGTGCTGTCTGACAGACAGAGAAGAGAAGGCTCATACTAACTGCTTTGCTCTTTATAAGCCACTAAAATCCCAGTGTGTGTGTATGGTAATCCCTACAGTCATAACCAAAAGGTTTGCATTTTGACGCTACTGAGATAGTAGCTGCGTGGTCTGTGTGGGTGATAAATAATTCCCTCTTAGGTTTCTGTGATGTTGCCCACCACAGCTGCGACATTAAAATTTGCTGAGGGATTTCACGGAGGCATTGATAGAAAAAGGCTGAGCTAGTTTCTGTGGATTTTATGAGATCCAAAAAATTAATAGATCCCTTAATTTTGATTCCACAGAATCATCCTGATGTGGCAAACAAATTGGCTACTTGTCCCTTCAATGCTCGGCACCAGGTTCCCCGGGCTGAAATCAGTCATCACATCTCAAGCTGTGATGACAAAAGCTGTATTGAGCAGGATGTGGGTAAGCCTGACTAGCTAGCTAAAATGTTCCAGTACTGGGGGTTAGCTGGTCAGTTTTTAGTTATGCTACATCGTCAGCTTGTTTTCTGGCTTTCATCATTTCAAAGGAACATTTTTCTGTCTTTGAGATGGTTATGTCATTGTAGCAGTAGGTTGTTAGAGTCTTATATAGGTCAGTCCGTTTTCTCTTCTACTATTATAATAAATCATCTAAAAATAAAGTTCTTGAGGCTGGAGATAGAGCTCAGTAGGTCCAGCCACTTGCCTCACATGGATAAAGCTGGGTTCTAGCTCCTGTGCCAGAAAAAATCATAGGCCTGGTGGCACTGATCTGTAATCCCCAACTCAAGAAGTGGAAGCAGGGGGACTTGAAGGTCATCTTTGAGTTTGAGACCTTGTCTCAATAAATAAATAATCCTGTTATTGCCATAAATATGGTATCTGTCTTTGTTTCTGCTTCTTGTTCCTATCAGCTTTCATCCTATCCATATCTAGAAACAAAGACTCAATAGGCTACCCTGCAGCCTTTAAAGGCCTTAAATCCCCCCTTAAACAGAATAACCTAGCTGGTCCTCCCACCCCACCCTTTCTTTATATGTCAAATCTCTGTTGTCTTGCAGTCAACCAAACCAGGAACCTTGGACAAGAGACTCTGGCTGAGAGCACATGGCAGTGCCCTCCTTGTGATGAAGACTGGGATAAAGGTGAGATGCCTCTATATTTTTTCTTCACATATTTAAATCTCAGATCATTTGCTTAAGACAGAAGAAAGATTTTCTTTTTTGAACATACCATGTTGTTTGGAATGCCTTATTATTTTTATTGGGTCCCAAAATGAGCACATTTGAATCACTGTGCAGACACATAGAGCAGCCTAGCTCCCTTGAGTAGAAGCAGCATTTCTTTACATCTGTTTTCCCCATAAATCCTGTTGGACCATCTGTGTGTGATTGTTACTAAGCATGATTTCTATTATTTATGTCTCTTACGTTTTTTTATCCTTCAGTTGTTAAATTCCTGCTTCTGTATTACTTGGGCAGGACACTTAGTTTTCACTTGACATTCCTCAAAGTTTAGCTATATTATTTCCCATCTGAAAAATTCAACGAACATAGATTGGTGATTTTTTTTTAGTAGTGTCACAAACTGTTTTCTTTCTTTTGGCAGATCTGTGGGAACAGACTAGCACCCCATTTGTCTGGGGCACAGCCAACTTCTGTGGCAACAACAGGTAAATTAAATGGTCTTACTTGCATCACTACTACCCCAAATCCAAAAAGTAATAATAATAGAGCTAGGTGTGGTGGCACACACCTTTAATTCCAGTAAGAGAGGCAGAGGCAGACGAATCTCTGAGCTTTAGGCCAGCCTGGTCTACAAAGTGAGTTCCAGGATAGCCAGAACTACACAGAGAAACCCTGTCTCAAAAAAACCCAATAATGATGATGATGATGATGATGATGATAATGCAAGCCACCATCTTTCCTTGATGAGGATTCTTGGTGATAACCTAGTATAACCTAGTACAAATATTGTTTGGTAAGGGTTTTTTTTTTTTCTTGTTTTGAAAGAGAGAGGCTATCCTCAGTTGTCAGATGTGTGTGCGTGTATATTGTTTTCCTTTGCTCCTCTGGAGCCCACAAGAGGTTGTCAGATATTTGTGTGCATAAGCCTGTGTGTGTGTTTTCCTTCGATCCTCTGGAGACCACAAGAGGTTGTCAGATATCCTGGAGCTGGAGATAGGGGTGGTTGTGATCCACCTGACATGGTGCTGGGAAGCAAGCTACAGTGTAAGAGCAGCAAGTGCTCTGTTTTTTTTTGGGGGGGGGGGTTTGAGGCAGGGTTTCTCTGTGGCTTTGGAGGCTGTCCTGGAACTTGCTCTTGTAGACCAGGCTGGTCTCGAACTCACAGAGATCTGCCTGCCTCTGCCTCCTGAATGCTGGGATTAAAGGCATGTGCCACCACCACCTGGCTGCAGCAAGAGCTTTTAACTGTAAGCCTTACTTGTTCTTTGATCTATAAAATCATAGACTTTATACTGGAAATATAATAATAATATTCTATAGTCTAATAGAAAAAGCAATAGTGTCTGATATTCTTATATTTTAATTGTTTGGGGTTTTTTCTTTGTTGTTATTTTTGCTGGGTTTGCATTGTTCTAAAACTGAAAAAAGTTGTCCAGTTATAATACTTAGACCATTTTAACCCTAGAGAACTGATGTCTAGGGCAGGAAACAAACCCTGTGGCTGGTGAGTCAGCCCAATGAGTGCAAGCATTTATTTTCGTCTATGCCTGTCACCTGCATTTGATCTCCCAGACCCACATAGTGAAAGAAGAAAACAGACTTATAAGTTGTTGTCTGACCTCTGCAAGCATGCTGTGGTGTGCACATGTATTCACACGCAGTGACACAAATGGAATTTTTTCCAGAGTCAGGGGTTAAGAGCACTTGTTGCTCTTTAAAGGACTGGAGTTTAGTCCCAGCACTCATAAAATACTTAATTTTTTTTATTTCTTAGTTACTGAGGTCAGTTAATAAATGCATACTATTTTGAGTCAATAACAAAAACAGATTAGTTTTTTTTGTGGCAAATTTAACTTCAGTTCTTAAGAGATTTACTACAGGGGCTGGAGAGGTGGCTCAATGGTTAAGAGAACTGACTGTTTTTCCAGAGGACCCAGGTTCAATTCCTATAATTCACATACTGGCTCCCAACTCTCTGTAACTCCAGCTCCAGGGGAATCCAACAGCCTCCACTGTCCTCTGTAGGCACTAGGCATACAAGTGCATGGGCATACATGTAGACAAAACACACATATACATAAAAATAATAATGTATAAAGAGATCTGTTACAGCCCAACATGGTGGGAAATAGCTTTCATCCCAGAACTCACACTCAGGAGTTAAAGGCTAAGAAATATCTGTGAGTTTGATGACAGCCTGGTCTATGTAGGGAGTTCCAGCCATGAATAGACAAACCTGTCTTGTTTACAGTGGTACTGACCAATAGATGTCATTGATATTTCTATAAAATATAAATATAAACAGCTAACTCCATCTTTTGTTATTGTTTTGTTTTGCTTTGCTTGTTGTTTTGTTTTGTTATTGTTGTTTTTTCAAGACAGGGTTTCTCTGTATAGCTTTGGAGCCTGTGCTGGAACTCAATCTGTAGACCAGGCTGACCTCTAACCCACAGAGACTTGCCTGTCTCTGCCTCTGCCTCCCAAGTGCTGGGATCAAAGGCGTGTGCCAACACAGTTAACTCCATCTTAATGCACATATGGAATAAAAAACATTTTCAGAGAAATGGTAATCAGCCTAATTGAGGATTTGTAGTTGGAGTTTCTGTCCCGTCTGGTCTCATAGCCATTTAGTCCTAAATAAACACACAGAGACTTTATTAATTATAAACTATTTAGCTGATGACTTAGGCTTCTTACTGGCTTGCTCTCTCTTAATTATTAACCCATAACTATTAATCTATCTATTTCTACATGGCCTCATCTTACCAGAGAATGCCTGGCATACTATCTTCCTGTAGCTACATAGCATCTCCCTGGCGGCTCTTCAATGTCTCCTCTCACCAGAATTCTCATCTGGTAGCCCCGCCTATACTTCCTGCCTAGCTACCTGGCAATCAGTATTTTATTTACCAACCAATTAGAGAAACATATACAGAAGGACATCCCCATCCTCCATCATCATCTCCTCTTTTCTGTCTAAATAGAAAGAACTATGCTTACATTTCAGATGAATGGTTGCTTTCCTCCACTTAAAAACACATTTTGATTGTCTTGTGTGAGTGCCTGAAGAATATTGTTATGATGACATCAAATTATTCCCTTTTTTTCAGTCCTGCAAACAACATAGTTATGGAACATAAGAGTAACCTGGCGTCAGGCATGCGAGTTCCCAAGTCTCTGCCCTACGTCCTGCCATGGAAAAATAGTAAGTGAAATAGAGGTCAGAATATTCTTACTTTCTTCATTGTGACAAAAACAGTTGGTTTAATATTTAGGTATGTTCAGCCTGATGCTGAAATAAGTGTGACTCTGTAAATTTTGTGTCTGCCTCACTCACTTGACGATGCTCCTATGCCTGGTTACAGACATGAAATTAAAGCTGGGAATGGTGGTGCATGCTTTTAATCGCAGTGCTCAGGGAGCAGAGGCAGGCACCCCGCCACCCCCTGGCAAGACTGTTTCTTTTCCCATGACTCTCAGTGGAATCCAATCACAATTTTGAATTCTGCTTTAAGATTACTGTTCCATATATTCTAGGAATAAGTAATTTGTGTTTATGCCAGGCAGTGGTGCACACCTTTAATCCCAGTGCTTGGGAGGCAGAGGCAGGCAGATCTCTGTGAGTTCAAGGCCAGCCTGGTCTACAGAGAGAGTTCCAGGACAGCCAGGGCTACAGAAAACCCTATCTCGAAAAAACCAAAAAGAAAAAAAAAAGGTAATTTGTGTTTAAAATTGTGTTTAGTAAGCACTGAGGGTTGAATGAATTTCAGTTGACATGATATATTTATTTTTAAATGTTTATTCTTATAGATGGAAATGCACAGTAACTGAACATCTTTCTCAAGTAAGTATTTATTTCATTTTAGTATCTCTTCAGATGGTAGCAAGATTTAACTGGACATAAAGCAATTTGAGTCCAAATTTCTTTGAGAGATACTAAATTCAAGCTGTGTGTGTGTGTGTGTGTGTGTGTGTGTGTGTGTGTGTGTGTGTGTGTGTGTTTTACATATATAGCCTCTATAATGGCTTTACAAGCTAATGAATAGGCATTTACTACTTAAAATTCTATTACCACACTAAGTTAGTACACACTGCCTTTTTGTTTGACATCAAAGTTAAGTTCTAGATCTATCCTGCCTTTTGTTAGAACTAAGATAAACCAAACATCTGTGTTTCATTGCTCTGCAATTCTTTCTCCAAGCAATACTGTTTAATTCCCAATTTAAAATAATCCATACTATTTTAATGAGCATTTAAAAGTTTTGGGTCTCTTAAGAGTCTTGAACTAGGAGTCTGGAGAGGTGGCTCAGAGGTTAAGAACACTGGCTGCTCTTCCAGAGGTTCTGAGTTCAATCCCCAGCAACCATTTAGTAGCTCACAACCATCTGTAATGAAATCTGATACCCTCTTCTTGCCTGCAGGCATAGAATACTTGTAGACAGAACACTGTATACATGATAAGTAAATAGATCTTTATAAAAAAAAAAAAAGTCTTGCACTGTTGATATTATCTAGTAGTTTAAGTATGAACCTCAAAAAATCTCTGTGAAGAAACCAAAATCCTTTACTTTTTCCAGATGAAATCTCTCCTAGAGGCCCTTCTGTCTGCTGGTGGTAAAGCCAAGCTTAGCTATCTTGCCTGAGGTTGCCCAGCCCTTCTGCTGGTGGCAGAGGGACTTTAGAAAGCTGGAACAGGATTCCGTTTCAGCTGTCTTGCCGATAGTGCTAAGCTTAGCTATCCTGCCTGAGGTTGCCCAGCCCTTCTGCTGGTGGCAGAGGGACTTTAGAAAGC